TTAGTTAAATTTACTTAAAAATCAAATGTATAATTAATGTTTAAACAAATACAAATTCAATACTTCTACATATATGATGTATACATATATACACAAATTAAGCATATTCTTCATCTCTACGCTGTTAGGTTCTTTTTGCTAAGAATCTTTGAGAATATTCTGTCTACTTATTTGTTCAATTTTCAATGATCAAGTAATATTACTTAACATTGTAGTTATTTCTCCTTTTTGTTCTTATATAAATAAATATTCGTTAATCAACTATACAACTGCATATTTCCTAATGTATTTATCCTAATAAGCATATTGGTCGATAACTAAACTAACTATATTACTTGTGAAGATATAAAATCGATAAAAGTATTATTGATTGTAACCGCTAACTGATAAATAGACTGGTTGTATTTTTAAAAGAGGATTTCAGTTGACTTCAAGTTTTGATGAACAATTGTTTGAATAATCTGATGATATTGTAAACATACATATAGACAAGACTAAGGAATATACTTCCTCCTTACATTCTCCTACTTATCATACGATGATATCAGAACATGATCATGTAAAAAGAGGGTTATTTTTGGAATAATTTGAAATAAAAGAGTCGAAGAAAAAATGTCTTTAACTGGTATCTTAGAAATGAATTATATCACTGAATATTATCTTCATTACTTATCTTATTGTGTATGAATCAGAATATAAAAACTGGAAGTTTATTGGATGGAAAGTAGACATTCATATATTTTGAAGAATAGTTACATAAATAAACGAGCTATATGATATAATTTTATGAACAGTGATCAAATTACTCATCAACTGCTGGTTGCTTTGAATCATTGAAAATTAAAAGCGACACTTGAAAAATGGGCTGATATATTCGGCTTCAAGTTAGATCACCATCTGACAAATGTGAAAGAAATACTGAAAATCAAGGATTACTGGACATCTGTTTCGTCTTAGCCTGGGACTCTTCAGCACCACCCAACAGTTTTGCTACTGGAGATTAAATTAACGACACGCAAGCGTTGCATTTTAGGATATGCTTAACTGTCAGTGTAAATGCTTGTAATCTCTTCCTAATTTTATGATGGAATTAAAAGTCGGAAATTAGAAATGACCGATGCTAAAATAACCTCGAAATTTGTTCTACGAAAGTTTATAGGTGAGATAAAGCACAATCATGCCCAGTTTGTTATTACAATTAATACACCATTGTTTAATTTAAGAAAAGTGTTCAATGTCATATATACGTCTGTTGCATTCGACCACAGTAAAATGTGTTTGTCTGTTTTTATCGGTAAACATGATCAGAGTGAAAATTAGTCTGCTTCTAAAACTATTAGCATGATGATTTAGTACAAGCTGACAACATTATAACACTACTGATGTTTTAAATTCCCTCTTGTTGGTGTTGTCATCTTCTTGCATATGTTTGTTATTCATATCGCCCTTACTGTTTGTGCTATTTTTATTCTTATACTTTCCAACAAACACACCCTGATTAATTTGTCAGTGTAACTATGACGTGTCAGAGCTTCTTTTAGATTTTTTACTTCCTATAGTTAAAGTTATTTTCAACCATGAAGAAGCTCATTTTCTCTGTTTGGTCTAAACTAGAAAATTCATTCTACCGTACATGAGGAATACTGAAACCGTTAGATATAGATATAGCACACAAACCAGTAAAATCGCTTAATTCGATATTATGCAAACCAAAAGATCCAACAGAAAAAGAGGATAAAATTAATACCATCTACAAAATAAATTGTATGAACTGTAACAAGCATTACATCGGCCAAAGTGGGCGTCCCCTTCGAATCAGAATCCAAGAACATAAATCAGCCGTGAAAAGACATGATATGTATTCTTTAGTATCAATGCATGCAGACAACTATGGTCATCAGTTTGATTGGGATCATGTCAAAATCTTAAACAGAGGAAACACGAAAAGTGCAGTCGGGGAATTCCTAGAAGCGTGGTACTCAAGCGAAAATGCGATTAACAAACACGTTAATATAGATGAAATATACCAATTAATAAAAAGTAAATCAGGTGACCAAAAAGTTTAAGATCCTAGTCAATAGAAAGTGGTCAATACATATGTGAAGATAGTAACCAGGAGACGCAATTACATCACGCATAAAGAAATTTAAATCATTTCACTTTGTGCTAAATATGGCGCTGAAGATGTTCTCCGGAAGGACGAGGAAAGCTTCGCGACTAAACCAACCAGCTCAGAGAACACTTTTAATTGCAAATCATCCACCTGAGCTACAAATCTTCTCTATTATTTCAAACTAGTGTTACTTTTATAGGGATTTAGAGAACATATCACTAAATTCGGTGTTCGTTTCATGACTTATCTCCTGTAAAATAAATAGGAAGGCCATCTGCCTTCATTGTGGTCTAATTCTTCATTCAGACCGCTTATGCTGTTTCCATGAAGCAGCATCATAATTGTATCATACAATAAAACAATGCGGAAAGTTTCGACTAATCTTTTATTTGACTATATGGGATTACCGTCCTACTAGACTGACCGTTTATTAAAATCAGTCGTTTATATGTTACAAGTACTTAAAACTTCTACTTTGCGCCAAATCATGCTCCATATGCATCATTTAGAAAACAAAGTTGAATTTTTCGAAGTTCAGGGAAGTTAAAGCGATACAACGAACGAACGCAGTAACGAACTTCGAAGGAGCAGTTGTGCTAAAAGCGGATTCAGGTCCGTAACTCAACACCAATGTTAATCTTTCCCTACTCTAGCACTAACCTAATCCTAATCTACCCCCCAACCAACCCTAATATCTCCTTAATAAGGTTTAACCTGACCCTAACGTGTCCTTAGACTAATCTTCGCGTAACCTAACCTAAAAATAACTAGATATCCTTATACTTCATCCAACACTTTCCTCATAGTTGTTGTGTTATCTACCTGGTTTCACTAACTTATTCCGCTTGTACGTCTCAAAATCATTAGTGTGTTCGTTCCTCTGGATTACCGTTCTCTAACTTAGCCAGCAGTTCCTTTCTGGCTTGTTAATAAACACACATTTCACCTTTCATTTACTCAACAATTGGGAAAAGCGACTTCTCTAATTCTTTTTTTTTTGCACTATTCTGTTGTCTACTACTTTTTTTAAAATTATCTAATATCAACCATAGTTTGCTAACAGTTGTCCTTTCTTGGCAACAGTAGAGAATAGACATCACAGTCGAATGACCTGGAACCAAAGAATCAGATCGCTCAGCACTACAAATGAATGCTTTTCATAATCTTGGTTACAAGAATCCCCCCAACCTTAATCCAGCCGTGACCTTAACCGTGAATCAGGATGAAACTTGAAACGAAGAATATGAGAAGCATCCATTGGTAATGCTGGGCGATCTGATTGGTCGGTTTAGGGTCATTCGACTGTGATGTCTATTCTTTACTGCTGACTATTTCGCAAAGTGCCAGTGGAAGCAGGACAAGCACATCATATTTATAATTGCAAAGTACTTGGTGGAATCACTGTATGATAACTGCAGGGATTATGGGTAGGCTTATATGAATCAGTAGATGAAGTTGTACACCTTATCAATGAATGTATGTGTTATTTATGCCTACCCCAACGTCTTTTGTGTGCTAAATAAATTAGGATTAGTTTAAAAAACGACACAGTGGAAATATAAGAACTTCGTCTAACTGGAACGCATTTGATCAATGACATCTTTGGTTATAAAAACTACGTGATATAGATTAGAATTCATACTTGATGTCTATGTCATCATGAGCTAACAGCAGTTAGAGAACCATTGGAAAACCTGGGAGTACTGGACAGCCATTTCGTCAGCATGGTTTTGAACTCTTCGCAGTACACACCCACCAGGGTTCGAAATCAGGTCTTTCTGGTTACAAGGCTAGCGAGCTCGTAGACCATTAAGCCACTGCGACCCGATGCAATTTCTGCGCTTAGCAAATCCTTAGTTGTATATTTTTATTTTTCCTTAGATGCTTACATATGTGATACTTATTTTGATTTCTGTCTGTTAGACAAATGCAACAGAAAACCCAATATGATTGCGTATACACCCATCAAGTGATCACACTTCATGCCAGTATATTTGTGTTATGTTAACATAAGGAAAGACGAAAAAATGAGTTAGAGAACAAACATGAATGACATGTTCACTCGCAGTCAACATACAATTGCCTATTTAAGCTGTCTACATGAATACGAGATGTATTAATAATGATAAAGCTATGACTCCCCACCCTGTGCATCCAAATTTTTCACTAGTAAAAGAGACATTCCAACCTTCTATGTATCGAAGTTTACGAAGAGACATAGCTCAGACAGCAGCTAGAAGCTATTACTAATTGTACAAATTTTCACGTAACTGTTAAGTAGGAACTAATTCTCCAATAAAAACCCCACGACTGTGTTTTACATTTTGCGCAGACACTCTTTTTACCTAGAAAGGCAATATTGAACGAAGTTACCTGAAGTTCTGATGGGAATTTGTTACTAGAGGGGTGACATCGGCTGGCTGTGGTGCTATATACTCCGAAATAGCAGAAGTTAGATTTCATGGTCCATTGGATTCCATCCCAATAAATGGATGGTCAACAGTCTGGCTTCAATATCCTGAAAGTCTTGGGTAAGATCTCTGGTGATGAAATGTGTTCATAATGCTGGAGAGTTCCAAAAGCGGGATGAAACGGCTGTCAAGTACTCTCTGGTTTTCACTGGTCCTCTGACTGATGTTAGCTCACGATATTACTTGAAACTGATCACATCCTGGCATACAAACACTCGACAAATATGACACTTAACATCAAACAGTTTTATTTTCCTTTACAAACTTAAAACTAGATCAGGGACTCGGTTAAGCTGTAAGTCATATATATTATATACTGACGGTGCTATCAATGAATAAGAATGTAAAAAACATAAGTTGCATCTATAAAAGTTATTTATTCAACCTCCAGAAATATCTACCGGCCAATAAGTCAGTTATTTTCCTTGGTATTCAAGTGCTGCATCGCTGATGAATTTCGCTAGATCAATATCTCTTTGAGAAAGGCCACCTACATCATGCGTGGTGAGAAGTATGTCCACCTATTAAAAAGACAGCAAGAAAAACCGATACTGAATATTGACTGGTGATAACAATAATCAGGAAATATCCATTATGAGAATGTAAGCTCAAACGCGGTTTTAATGTGTAGCCAACAATATCATAAGTTTATATTTATTTTTAAAAATAATAATTTCATGCATGAAATTTACCCTCTTTTGTGGTTAAGAACATACGGCCATTCACTTAGGCACCTAACTTTAGACTGACGAGTACGGAATTCCAGTCGTAGTCCACATATTGAAAAATCATTACACGACTGCCAACTAGCACGCAAACTAGGTCCAAGGCTTCCTGACGATCGCCTCCGACCATCCAATATCAACACTTTACAGTGCACCGTGATGGCGAGCCACCTGTTATGGAGGCCTCATTGCAAACTTGACTGATAAAATTCAGTTTGTAACAATGAAATGACTACACACAATACACTAGTTACTAACTAGTGTCCAATCAAAACCATTACACGTTTATGAGCTAGTGTATAAAAAACTACGATAAGAACTGAGTAGCATTATTTAACATACTTCGTGCCCTGTAACTATAAAATATGTCCGTCATATTCTCCAAGTCACAATCTCCTTACTTTTCTTGTATCTGGTTATTATTCAGTGAAAGAATAATTATTATCGGTATTCAGATAACAATTTCAGAATTCCGGTTGTTATTTGTTCCTCAATGCTCAATACTACAGTTTTTTAAATCATGGCCATTTATACACTGCTAAATAGCCACATTTACACTTGGTTAACCCGGTTCTTCTTCGCATTGTCCACAAGTATTTCTTCTACAATCGAGGGTTTTAGAAATCCTAGTGCTACTTTCCTGCTTTCATATAAACTGTGTAGAGAATGCACACAACGGGAACCACATAAAAAACCTCTCTACGAATTAAAAAGAAGTGAATACGGGCTTTAGAATTATAGGGGAGAAGTGTTGAAAATTGCTTGATTCATTTGATATGGATATATATACAGGCAGCAAATCACGCTGAAAACATTATACAGTAACTGATATCAAATTATAGTGTGCTATGTGAAATGAACAGATTAACATTGAGTCCCTCTTTGTATTGTTCCGTCGTCATGCTACATCTTCCATATATATATACATATATATATATATATTACTTACTTTACTTCGGCTATCTCCTATGGGAGGATGAGCCGGCTTCATGAACATCTCGAATCATCGCTGCCCAGGCGTTTGTAAGAGAGTTCATGAAGTTTCATGGGAATTTGGTACGAGTGATGTCCCCAGAATCTCTCGGCCTTTTGTTTGAGAGTGCAGCTCTAGCCTTTACACAACCAAGTGTGACCTACAAGGCAGTAGGAGTGAAGTAGGGAGTCCACTATCCATTGGCAGCCGGTGACCGGAGTTCGGTTCATACGCCTTTTTGAATGGGGCCAGACATCCAGGACATCCAACAAGCCCTTTGTTCATACGTCTGCCGGTGAGCTTCAGTGAGCTTCATACGCCAGTCGTTGGAGGTTTGGAATCAGGGTTTAGCCATCTCCCCTAGACTGTCATCCAATGGACAGTCAACCCGGTGAAGAGCGCCGGGCATCCGCTTTCGCCCTCTCACTTTGGTGAAAAACACCTCCGCCACGTGAAGGCAGTGAGTAGGACTTCCTCAGGAGAGGCTATGTAAGACGCCCGGTCATACGGGAGCATTTCAAGAGGTGTGCGGAGGGATGGCCAACCCGCAGCGCAAGGCACCCACCCCCGACTATCCTGAGGCTTTGGAGGCCATATATATATATATATATATATATATATAATTCATTATATGTCTGTAAGTGTGTAATTCACATTAATTCATGTAAAATATTTGCTAATGTACAAAAATCGCCATCTGTCTTTACTTCTAATTGATATTACGTGGTTGAAGGGGACTTATAGGTCCCACTTTTATTGTCACTCATCGACAAGATGTATTTGCAACCAGAGACAGGGAGAGAGAGCTGATGATACCTTTGAGATGCCAACGTATTAAGGTCAGTATTGTAACCGGATGTAAATTGAAAACAAGAACTAACAAATCTATTACATGTCCCAATCGCAGATCAAAATGTCATATCTTTATTCATAGTATTGACTGAACACATTTGAGAAGGATAGCAACATTTATCCTGAAGAAATCTGACATTTACTTTCATTTGTTGTAGAAATATTAATGAGAACAATTCATAACTCGCAGCCAAGTTACTAGACACCAGTTGACTTTTGTAGCCTCGTACCAATTGACCAATGCACAAAGAATGAAAGGTCCCGAAAGTGAGGAAAAGCGAAATTCGCTAAGGTGTATATGAATTAAATATTACCATAAGGAATGCAAGTAGAAGCATGTGAATGGAGAAAAAGAAATTGGAAATATTATGGTACTATGTGACACGCGTCAACTATTTAGGCTTACTTAGATGACGGGGCTTAGTAATGCAATGGAGAGTGAACCGATCATCGAGGAAGACAAGACTTTAATGACTTTAAACGTTGGGTGGCAGCACTGTTGGATGTCTAACTGGCCTAATCAACACTACATTTGCCACTGTCCAGCATCATTTCCATCGAAATGTGCGTGTCGGGCCTTCAACTCCAGAAAATGACGCGAAAGACGGAGACGAATTGAAACTATCTGGAGACGTTTAAAGATAATGATACAGTAATGCACTAATGTAGCATATAGTATTTACAAATTTGAAATATTTCTATCAGATTAACTTAGACTATTAACCACTCCAGTTATAAGGAGGACAGGTTTTCATGTGGATCACACAGTAATCCGTCTCTACACTTATTTTAAGACCGATTGAAGCTCGCATAGAAATTCAAGAGAACTAGGCATACTAATGTGCACATACTAAATATTATCCATTTACAGGTCCTAGGACACAGTCATATTTACTGATATCCAGCGTTTATTATACTTCTTGATCTGAAAGCTACTTTTGATTCTGTAGATCCAGAGATGATGGCGAACAGCAGTCCATCCTAAAGCCAGCGCCACTTTTGTTTTGTTAGTTACACCATAGATATGCTAGTGGAGATGACCACCTGTATTTGCACAGTCGCAGAATTATCTTCACATAAGAAAAAAACGTTGTTTGACTTAGAGTATATAAACGTGTAAGAAGATGAATAGAAATGTTATGTTAAGTGACGACAACCAGCAGTGTCCAGCATCCTTATATGATCTTATCATAAAATCAAAAATGGTTGGCCTTAGTGTCCTAGAAAGTGATGCTTTGTTACGAAAATTTGTTGGGTAAGCAAAGAAATAAATACAAACGTTTTTTGAACTAACTGAGGAAGCACTGAGCATACTTCTAATGTGCGTCGCCTGTATCAGATAAAATATAGTACTAGTGGGTTGACCTGCACCGGGGACAGAGATAGAATTGGTAGAATATGTTGACTGCTCACTTAGTATCTAATTGACTACTCGCTAACGAAATTTTAGTACGATTACAAAACAGCCTTCCGGGATTCGCGCGAAGCAGAACTACCTGGTACGTGATACTCAAGTGAAGTGAATCCCCAGAGAAGGCAACTAAATTAACTGAGACTGTAACTGTCAAGTTGAGCACGCTACTGCCTACATAGACCGGCAATGGTATGCATAACATAACACTGTGACAAAATTAGAGTTGAGAATAAGAACCTCCAGGAAAGCTACTGCAAACTGCTTGAAACCGTACCATGAATGGGGGAAATTTAGTACTTATTATTTATTAGCCACAGCAAAATATAGTGTATGGATTTTAATATGAATCATGCACTATTCTTGGCTGTAACTCTTAGAATATTGAGGATTATAATTCAAAATTCTCAGACAACGCAGAAGTTGGGAGCAAATGAGATATGCCAATGCAGTCTTTAGGTTTCAAGTGTCCCATGTTCCTTGATTTATTCACCAGCTACATTTATTTGTCATACTAGACCACACTGACGATGAACTTCTTCAAAGAGAAATTGGGTCCCTGCAGACGAGTCAACACATGCCATACATGGTAAATTTGATTTCATGCTTTAATTTCTCAATATTTTGAGTGTCATTCTAAGAAAATTAAAAACGGGATACCCTGTAGTTATTTTACAATCTTAGTATGTTTTGTGTCTTGAAAGAATGATAACGATGCTATCAATTGATATTTACGGTTACAGTTTTCACTATAAGCAGACAAATCAGTCAGGAGTCGCACCAAATTGTCCTGATAAGTTAAAATGTATTCAGAATTTTACACTTTGCTTACGGAGGAATAGAGGAAATATATGTATATATACATATACATAAATATGTATACATATGTTAAACTAACCTTGTTATAGACATTAGACCATTCAGGGTGATGATTCATAGCTTTGGCCTTTCCTGCTACCTTGGTCATAAAGTCGAAAGCAGTATCAAAGTCTTTGAAAAGAAAAGAACGTCTCATAGCATCGCCGGAACGATGTTCAGTATATATTTCCCATTTGCATTCCTTTAGTAAAGGTTTGAGTAACTCTTCGCGTTCAGACTCTGTAAGACGTGGCATTTTACGCTTCTTTATGGAAATGAAACTATTATTAGAGTTAGACATACCCGAGGCGCGCTAACAATAGTAGAGTAACGAGAATGCAAGACATCAGTCAGATTAGCGCTGCGTTTCAGAATCGCTGCCATTCCACACTTGCCTGTCCAATGTTCACTGGATCGCTTACTTATGGATTATCAATTCATTTTGTGAAGTTTTTGAAATTTCCTCTTCCCGTGTTGTGGCAACGTCTCTTCTTCTTTTAGGATTAGCTGAGTGTATTTATCTGGCTGAAAATACTGAGTTCCACTGATGGAAGTATAACAGGACCCATTGTTATCGCAAGTATTGATCATTCTATGACACAAATAAACCAGATAAGTCAGAGGCTTTATAAGAGGCATCTTTGAGAGAGTGGACCAACAGCTATCGTCATTCAGGTATACCGGAACTGGCAAAAGGTGACGAGTGTAATGAGTATCTGCATAACATACAGCGCAGCTGTAGCTGGGAGAATTTGTAATACCTGCATCCTGCAGACTACCTCATCTAGCAGATATGTCTGCACTCTATTCAAAACCATTTGTGGAGAAGGATTTCGTATGCCGAGAAACTCTGTGAGACGTGCTCCACTTATGGTACAGGTTGAAAGAGCATAAGTAACAGCACAGGATGCTGGGAAAACAACCCCATCACTCTTACTGAGAGGTGTGCCGTTATAAACCTAGCCCTGCTTGGGTGTGAAGCTTAGAAGCTGGCTTCAGCGGCATATCAGTGACATCAAGAACGGAGTGAGGCTTCAAAGAAACTAACTGATCTGTAGAACAGTGTCTTAAGATGGACATAATATCATTCATGGGCACTGAACGAAACAGTTTCGCAATAAGTAGAAACGCCGAATGCCTTTGCAACAATGTCACAGGCTTCAGAAGTCAGATAACCGGGTTTTGATCCTAATAGCAACATTACGCACACCCAGTTATCACTTTTACAGAGACGTGGTTACTGTCCAGAGTCCAAAACAGTGAAGTGAACAGAGATGGGACGATAATATATAGGATGAGAGGCGGAAGTGTCGCGATGCAAGTGAGTTGCAAGCTTCGGTGAGATTGGAGATTGCCTCTCTACAAAAACTGTGCTTATAGTTCTTACAAAGCCAAAAAATCTGCGTCCAGAACAATTCCGAGAATGTGCAGACTTCTAATCAGTATTTCCTAAACAATGTGGTAAAACCTTAGGTGTCCCTGGAAGTTAGCTGTTTCAGCATAAGCCGGACAGACGTCAGTCACTGTGTGCCCTATTACTTTTTTTAAAGGAAGACAGTGAAAAAGTCGCAAATCTTCTGCCAACAATATTGAAGTGATAGCAGGCTTAATAGATTAAGAAAATACAGAACGTCTAAGCAAAAGCATCTTCCCGTTAGAACCTGTCTACATCTTTAGAAAGTAGTGGTCCTGTCATACCGGGTTATTTATAGCCTGAAAAAACTGATGAGCAAGCTACGACCCAAATATTTCTAGACTTCAAAAAAGTTTCCGGATCAGCATCCTGAGAAGTACCAGAATGGAAATTTCGCACAAACGCAAATACAGTAGTGTGGCGGCAAATAATTCCCCAAAATTATTGACCAGAGCACTCATCACTGAACATCGGATGCTAAAAATCACTGTTCAAGTCAACCATTTTAACCAAAGACTTCCGGTCAGCTATCCACGCCATTTGGTACTCCGTCGTGTCGCGTTCGTTCGTGCATGATCCCTAGCCAGCTAAGCAATCATCTCGCACTCCAATTTGGTCCCGAAATATATCTCGTAATTTGGACGATCAACTATTGTGTTTTGCTTTGCCTCTGGTCTACGTGGAAAGAATATTACAGAAGTTATGTGTATTAGATCTTGTGTTGGAATATTTCGTACCATCTGTGAACGTCAATACCGTCAGCCTCTAAAGTAGGATTCATATGGAGGGTGTCAACTTAGATGCATATCAGGGGGTAACTGTTGGTTAATTGTCATTAGTGATTTTTAGGAGCGACCTCCCGAATAACCAATTAACACTTCCCTGCTCAAATGGCGAGGAGCTGCTGAGGGGAAAGTTATGTAAGATTCCTCTCTGAACGCCAAAAGCAAGTCATCGAGACACTATATACATCAACTATAACAATAACAGTTTATATTTCGTATAAACGAGTAAGTTCACAAGAAATGTATACCATTTTTGCAGGCACGATAATATGTGACATAATTTACAAATGTGAAATGTTATAAACTAGCTCATTTTCAAAAGTTTAAACCGCTGGATTTTTGTACAAGCAATCAGAACAGGTTCTTATAAATACTAAATTTAAAACTCTTTACTGAGATCACAATCAGGGTCAGGCGACAATCCGAACGTCGTTCCGTTTCTTGCTGATAGTTATGGTCAACCAGTGAACAGCGTATATTTGGGTGAGTGCTATGCCACCACGTGATTGAATGCTATTTCAGGAATAGAAGAACGTCCTGGGAAGCTGCAAAATGGTATAGAATACAATTATGGATAACACACCATTGAAAGTAAACTTACAAGATATATACAAGAAGGAGGTGGAAACTCCTTGGAACGATAGCATAAATTTGCACTGTATAATGCTAATCATACTGGTGTTAGCATGAAAACTATGATGTTCTCGATCAAAATATAGCTTTGTTCAAACATTGTTGTTGTGTTTCTTCCATCAAGGCAACCAGACTCAAAGCAAGCAACAAATATGAACAAAGAGTGAGTTATAGCTTTAATAAGGGCCTGGGTAGCTGAGATAAAATAGAGTTTAATAGTGCGTAAGTAAAAAGATTACCGTGAGGTAGATAAGTGATATTTCATTGAGAATTGAATTCGAAGATCTGGAAGATAAGAACCTGTTGTATTAGCTGACCTGCGAGATGCCCCACGAATTTCTGTAGGGCACAAGGGGGTGGCATCTTGACAAGAATCTGAGCAGCGATGTAGATGGTAGGAGCAAAGGCATTTTTTCAATTTATAACTTACATCTGCACAGCCCTTATTTTTTCTTCGTTTTTGTTAAGGGTTCAAACTAATGTAGTATCACCTTTATACATGCATATATGTATGTAAATATTTGTTGCAAAAGACTAGGAAATTAAGTTTCTCTTGACAATTTATTAAGTCTTGGAGTAGTTAGTATTACAGCAACTAAGTTATAGACTATTTAGTAGAGTTAAAAGGTTAGTGGAGAAATTAGTGATAAAGTTATGTAGAATGATGCTGAAGAAAACATCTGGTTATCAGGACTAGTTATGCTAAATTTTCATGACCGATTTTCACGTAGTATGCGTCAGACATTGTAAAGTAAACCTTCAACTTATGTTATGTTTAAAATACTGCGAAATGTTATGAAATTATACGTCTTAGAAAAGTATATGAGAAAAGGTAGTTATTGACTGAGTAAATTCATTTCAACACAAAAATATCAGTGTTTTGGTAATTATATATATGTCAAATATTAAAAGATGTCGTTTCTAATACAATTATTTTTAGATTCACTCATACTAACAGGACTTATTCAAGATTCTAGAGAATAGAAAATCAGCAAATTACTCAGACATTCGCTGCGTAAGTAGTAGAGTTGAGCTATACGTAAGTGAGTACACGGTCGTGCACACCTGTCAACATATTCCACTTGTTGGTCAAACCCCATTATGCAATTCGTGGGGAATCTCTGGACATTTTCGAATTTTCCGGCCTCCAGACCTTAGGTTTCTAAATAGCAGAGCACAATATTCAAGTGTAGGGCGGACACATGTCTTATAAACAGCTAATCTTGCTTCTTGGGTGTAGAAGTTACGCAGCACAAAGACAATAAGCCGTTTACAGTCAGATACAACCATATTTGAGTGATCGGAAACGGTTAAATCTGAGTATGTTATGCCGAGATCTGTGACTGTGTACAGTTTTGAGAGGGGCTAACTGTATATAAAAAGCACATTCGCGGTTTTCAGCGTTCAAGGTGGGCTACACCGCACCTGTCTGGGTTAAAAGTCAGTTGCTGTCAATGTAGTTGAAGAATGAATAATCAATTCATGGTTGTTTACTCAAAACCAACTCTACATTTTGGCGGGAGTCACCGATACTGCAGTCATCGTTCCATCATACGCTGTTCGTTAGAAGACGGAGAAATACTATCAGAAGTATTATTGTGATGAACTGTTATGACATTTATTCCTAGGCTTTGTGTATAATAACCTTATGGTTGGCCCCATATTGGTGCAAGAATAAATGATTCTCGAGTCACCAATCTGTGTTCTGGTTTATCGCGTTGGTTATTGTACATTGTTGCCGAAGGTCTTCTAAGGACAGCGTTAATTCCAGTGTAGTTAGACCTGGACGTTTACAGTTGCCACTTTTCGCTCCAATCGCCTAGACTGTTCAAGTCATGTTGGATCTTGCTTCCGACGTTCATATCATCGAGCCCATAATTATTTACTTTATTGAGATCATTTGCAAAGAGGTATGGCTTGCCATAGTTGATCACAGAGACTATATCATTTACGAATAAGCGGAATAGAAGAGGGCTAACAACGCTTCCATGTATTACACCACTAGTTATCGGCTTTGATGAGGACGGCTGGTGGTTGGTTTTCACTAATTGCTCTCTTTCTGTGAGAAAGGAATTTATATATTTGAGAAGCTTTCCACTTATTCCGTAGGATTGGAGTATTGTTAAGCGTCTGGTTTGTGGAACCTTTAGGTTTTTGGGACATATTTATGTAGCTTTTGACTACTGTGTCTTCCCTTTTGATACTTTGATTCCTCAGACCGCTATCAAATTGTTGTTGGAATTATTCTTGTGGTATGAATTAGTGGTACAATTAATGGCAATTTATGATATTGTATGGGTTTAGATGGAAAAATCTTGCTCATTTTTATGACATTTTTGTACCAACGATGCGCTGGACATCTCAATATGAATGCAACTTTTATTACTGAATTTATTATATATTAATGTCAGGTATGATCGTGCCTGTAAAAAACGGCACGTGATTTATATAAACGCTCGATATACGTCAACAGACCGTTTTTATTTGTCTTCCCCCTACCTTATTATTCGCAATCATTTTATCCTTTTCTATCCTTTATTTTTGTACTGATCGACATTCATATTTCTACTTCGGTGAACCTCTTGATCAATGTAGAAACGGCCTGTAAACATTCCTCAAAATCATGTGGCGAGTTCTATGATATCCAGTGATTAGTAGAAACTTGTTACAAATATATCGATCATCTGAAATTAATTCGGAAAAGCAATTTAAGTGCAGAGGAGTCAATTTTTCAGGACACTGACTGAGAAAGAAACATCAAAGCGGTTGTCAAGTCATCTGCTAAAGCGAGTAGAACAATGATGGGATAAGTGCACTGCATTTACAAAGGAATGGATCATCCCTCCCCGGCTGTAAAATGGCACTCAAAACTTTGCTCTAGTCCTTCAGGAGAAAAATGTTTTCATTTACTACCTCCATGATTTCTCCACATTTATCACTGTAGTCTGATGATGTTAACGGATGTGAATGAATTAGTAAGCCTATGGTCACTTGTTTCCCTTGGAAGATTCGATTATGGTTTATGAATGGTAATTTGTATTCGTAACTTATTGTTGCCATATATACGGTAAAGGTGACTTCATCGTGCAGTATACAGGTTGCAATGTAATCTGCCAAATGTCTAGAGCCACTCTGATGCATCGAAAAGAGGGCCCTTATATATCTTAAGGCTTACCCAACCCCATCAGAAACAGGGATACTTCCAACTTCCGCATTTCTGTCTTTTCACACTACTGGTCGTCAGTGGGTAGGACAAAAGGTAGCACAGCTGGATTTTAATACAGAAGGCTATGAAAGGTTTACTTAGGGGTATCCAGAAAAATTTTGGACATATACGAGAATGACATGGTCACAAGCAGAGCAGCACGCACACAGATAAAGGAAGCAGAACGTGAGCTGTTCAGAGAATGTGTATTCCACAGTAATCAATCGTATGTTTTACGGGGGTCCAGTCTTACAGTCTTTATTAATTCGCCAAGGTTTATACCTTGCACGTGTTTCATCTCCTAGTCCAGATAGTTGATTCCTGGATATTTTCCTGCACGAAAAGAGAGAAGAACATTGATTAGTGTCTATTATTAAAATTTGATTTCATTACAGTCTGAGGATGAGGTCATTGGACCTATTGAACACAAGTGCGTTTTTATAAGATAGACTTTAGTATCCGCTATGGTATGGAACTATATTCTACATCTCACCTACTCCTAGGCACCCGGAAAGAAAAGAGGGAAGAAGAACAAGTTTGCAACCGTAATAAATAACGTGAGTACATCGGACATGACGAAGGAGGAAATAGAAGCATATGTCGTACTTTTGCGAGAAGAGTTAGAGAAAGAGAAACAAGAAAGAAACTTGGCACTTCTGGAAAAGCAGAAAATATCAACATTTTGGGAGCTAACTAAGAAGCAACTTGATGAGGCGAGATCACTTCTTATCAAGAAAGAAAGAGATCTGGAAGACACTGATGAAAAACATCAGCTTGAAATGAAGGTTATTTTTCATTTGAACTAATCTATTTTCGCCCTTTTCCCCAGCGCCTGTGGATGTCATTTATGTGTGTTTTTTATAACGAAACAGTCACTTTTCAATATCAGTACAGTTTCATTTTAGTTAACTATAAACTTGTGTCATGTTTATTCACAGATGAACTGTATGTATTCATATAATTCTTGCAACTAGTGATGCATAATTTCGTGACGAGCCTTATTCGTAAGACTGAAGTTGCAGGTAAAATAATCCACAGCGCTATAATTCAGTGTCAGAAGTCTCCACATTTTCAGTTACACTGCCTTTTTCAGTCAAAATTGTTACGAGATCAAATTTTACAAATCTCATTCACCAACTAGACGGAACTGCAAGGCAAAAGACATAGGCCTTTTCACGTAATTCTAGGCAGGAAGACTTCTTTCACAATAGGGTCGGAGAATTCATTACTACTTTGTGGTCCAGTATGCTTTGTATGACATCTACATGTCAGTATTCAATCTTTTATCAGTAGTGAGATGATAAGTGTGTGTTAGTCCCTGCATTAGGTGTGGCTTCAGGTTCAGATTCGGATTATTAGGATAGAAGGCTCTTGTTGCCTATGTTAATCCTCGCGATATATATCTCTGTAGAGATCCAGTTTCTCTTTGCAAGCGTTCACCGGTTGGATCTGTTACTACTGTATCTGGTAAGGAGTTTCAGTCGTTGACCACTCTGTGAGAGAATCTAAATTCCACTTTTACTTTATTCTACCTCCGTCTGAGCACCTTCTTGTGGTGACCACGTAAATTTTTCCTAGAGGGAAAGAAAAGGTTTGAAAGGTCAATCCCTAAATCACCCACTAATTTACGGTAAGCCAAAATTAAGTCACCTCTCCTCCTTCGGTACGACAATGGGAAGAGATTTAGATGCTCCATCCTCTTATCATAAGGAAGGTGTGAGATAGGACTTACTACTTTCCTTCCTATCCTCTATACTCTTCCCAGGGTATGCGCCTCCTTTTTAAAGCATGGACCCACCGCTTTCATGCAGTATTCTAGTGAGGTCTGACATATGTTGCGTAGAGTAACTGGCACATACCCTCGTCTAATCGTTTGAAAGCCCTTCGAAGTGCCCATAGAATTCGAAAAGCCTTAGCTACTGGTTGATTATAATTTGCCGTTGTTTTTAAGTCATGGCTTACAATAATTCCCAAGTCCTTTTGTACCCGAAAATCTGGCAGTTCTGTGTACACGTCTCACTCCCTGGGGCACACAGAACTGCCAGATGTTGGGGGACGAAAGGACTTAGGAATTATTGTAAGCCATGACTAAAAAACAACGACAAATTATAATCGACCAGTAGCTAAGGCTTTTCGAATTCTATGGGCACTTCGAAGGGCTTTCAAACGATTAGACTAGGGTATGTTCCAAGTACTTTACGCAACAAGGAAGAGAAGAATCAAGAAAACCTGTGCCATGTTGTCTGACAAAGGGTAGCAGCTATAATTGATTTCATGAAAAAAATGATGATTCATGTTAAATTCTTTCAGCAGTTATTTTTAAGATTTTCCGTGGTTTTCCTGAAGACAGTCGTTTCCAAAGGGAGAGTAAAGATAAGGACTTATTTTAGTCAAACGGAAGGACTGCTAAAATTTAATCAGTCCCTTTCTTACGACACAGCAATGAAACTATATTTCATATAGCCTCCTGGACACTAGAATTTTGAACTCCCTATAATGTATTAACTTCTTAAGTTAAGCAAGAACTTACCGTATACATACAGAATTTCAAGTGGAAACACACACTTTTGATATAAAGCCCTAAGTATTTCAAGATCGGAGTCAAATGCAAAGTAAACTGAAGAAGAAAAGAGTATCAACATAGGGATTGCAAAACATTTCAGGACTAAAAGGATTTTGGCAAAGAAATTTTATAAGACATTTAATGTAAAAATAAGATATGAACGGACCCTTAGCACTGTATTCGATTCTAAAATATAACTCATACAGTATACAATTATAAATTCTATTGATCATATAAGCCCTTGGCTGGAGACCTCAGATTTTTTGAAGAGCTAAATTTACCTTAGATCTAGCAATTCGTAAGTAAGTTAGACATAAATTTACTGTCTTTGGATTGTATCAAACCTTCAGCCTAATTGAATTACATTTTTTATAGAAGTTAGTAATTACTTCATAAGTAAGTTGATAAATCTTTTTAAAAGACAAGTCACTTTACCGAAAATTTCCTGTAGGGTTATTTATGTCTTCAAACTGATGATAACTGTACTGTAACCACGTAAGCAAACATAATGCAAAATCAATAATAAAACCTCTGTCATCTCAAACAGCTGACGCATAAGAATTAGTCTTGAGACTATGTTTTCAGACAGAGTTGACCAAGCAAAGCGGAAGTGAGTTATATGTCTAGGTGTTTCATTGGGCTCTATGATACGTTTCAAGACTAAGGTTTCTTAAAATCAAGATTTATTGAGGCTAATATCATTTTATTTATATATCTTTGAGCAAGAAACTCAAGGATGTGACACATTGCTAAGACATTGTTAATACAAAATGAATGACATTATTTGCAGTTAGTTTAAGAAATTTAAGTTTCAAAATACAGCTAATGTTCATGTTGTCCAACAAACATACTGACGGAAATAGTGATAAATCAGACATACGCTGAGCAGACATCACACATCAGGCCGTCGTAAGTATTCTGAATTTGGGAAAACAGGTTGAATGTCGGGTATGACATGAGGAAAGTCATGTAAAGGCAAACTGAAAGATTATCGTCAGTGGTGTGGCCAACTGATAGTCATGTCAGAGAATAGATTGAAGTGAATACGTGCCATCTAGACTCCACTATAGACTAAAGCAGTGAATAATAATATTAATTCATATGCTGTAAACCACTTCATAAACTCTAAACGTTTTAATAAAGACTAAAAATAAATAATTTCATGAAGTGAGTAGGAATGTATTCAGTTTTTTTTCATCTACTAATAATAAGTTTTACTTGATTTTAATTATCTTCCTTTCACACAGATATACAGACAAAAGTTGAAACATGTAATGTTTGAACAAAATACACGTGATTCAGAGGCTAAAAAAGAAGCATTACAAAATTTAAGCAATTCAGAAAATGAGGCAAGAGCAGAAATCCGTGCAATACGCAATGAGAATTATACACTGAAAGTAAAACTTAGACAACAATTAGTTCAAACAGAGGAGACAATTAAACAGTTGAAAAGACAACATGAATTAGATGTAAGAGATTATTGTCAGAGTGTAATTATTCCTCAGCATTTATATCTAACTTTTGTCCGTTTACAGTATACCTCTACAGGTCACTAGATTCTAACCTAGTTGTTCGTAACTTGAAGGTGGTCGGTTAATGCCATAGTGATATTATGGATTGGCACTACTGAAGTGTCACCAAGCCGGATGTAACAGCTACTCCTCCAATAACGCTAGTTCATGAAGAAGTCTACACAAAACTTATTTGAATATTAATCTCCTACTTATTACTGGCTGGCTTCAGATAGAATATCCTGAGGTTTCAAAGAGCAATCATGGTCTGTGGGGTCCACTGTATTCGGTGTCGAGCGAATGATCATGAATGGTGTTGGTTGACTACGGAGGAGTTCAAACCTATGATAAGACTACTTTCCAGTGCCCCGTCGTTTTCAATGACTCATTGGTTGGTATTAGTTCCGAAATGGATGGTGAGTGGAGATCTCGACTGATCTATTATGAAACTAACTTGATTTAGATTATTTAATATACATTATCATAATTTATATCCATTTAACATGTAGCATAAAAACAATGTGGAAGACAATTCAAAGTACGAAAGTAAAGCAAATTAGGTTACAAAATGACTGTCCGCGAAGTCTTTACTTATTGTTTCCAGCCAAGTAGAGAGCTGTAGATTATTTAGACGAGGTCCATTGGGATGTGATACGTCTTAAATCTTCGACAGTAGCTCAGATATATTCACCCTATTTTTAATTATCTATATTCTGAAATTCCTCGCCAGTCTCCATCTATTTATTTTTTGTCCTGTACAATTTTGTCCATCATATTTTCATAAAATTTCCTATCTCTATTTTGATTCCTACTTTTTCGAAGTAAGATAGCTTAGTTTATACTTTGACAGATCAGCCATTCAGAGGAAATATCAGGATTACGATAAAAGAAGTGGGATTACATGCTTCTTTCACAAAAACATACACACATCGGTCGTGCTTTAGAGTGAATGAATAACCAAGGCTTTCACTTTTTTAAGAATTTTGAAAAAGTGCAAGGTTTGAGTAAATTTTCATTAACTGTCCTTAAGTTGTGTTCTTGATTACTTGAATGATGATCGAATGTTCCAAGACAGAACTCCTACTAATCTTTCTTTCAACCTCATAAAATCACTTTGACGTGTACACGTTCAAAGGATTCTCTTACATTACAAATTATAACTATTTCTGTAATCCTGACTTTTATATTCAGCCGTTTGAAATTCATACTGAAGAGGCTGTATAATAAGGACAATGGAAGTTTTGTAACTAAACTCTCCAGTCCAGAGAAGCACAATCACAAAGACAACATATACATGAGTTACAAATCTTCATTACTTCATAAGTATTCTAAACACGGTGGATGTTGTTTTAGTATTTCAGTCATTAAATTTATTTATCATGGAAAAATTTGTGATATATATTTGTACATAATGCCCATTTTTTTCGCCGGAGTAATCTATGACAATCAGCGCTTTTTCCTGATGAAAAAGTCAATTCTAGATATCCCTTATGGACACGGATTCACTGGCTGACATTACTGCAGACAATGGCTCTCCGTAAGTACTTATATGGTTGGCCAGTTTATAGAATGGAGCTCGGTAAACAGCCTAACGTACTTTTTTGACGCCTGATTCACAGCTAGGCGAAAGAATTATAAATTTCTCTGTCCCTTATTGATTTAAGAATAATTATTTAGAGAGTATTTCATGTGCCTAGTCTACAATTCATAAACTCTTCACAGGTACAATTAAATAAACTACTTCACTGAGAAAGCAAGATACCTATTTGTTCAAAGTTGTGGTGAATGGAAGTGGCAAATGCTGAATATTGTATCTTCTGACTTAAAACTTCCTCTTCGTAAAGACATCTAATAAAGCTTCATGAACTTAGATGCGTAGGATGCGTGCTACCCATACGAAGCCGTCGCCTTCCCCGTGAAGCAATCTTAGCTGGTATATTATCGTGTGGGAAAACAGTCTGAGGTGGTGAAACCCAAAAATAGATTTAACCAATGAAGTATATGATTGTTAGGAGGGGGAGGCATTAACTGAGTGTTTGCAGCTGTCAAAATAGTAAAAAATCATTTGATGGATATTAGTGGGGATACAGCTCATATATATTCACTCTGTGACCTCACAGATCTATTAAATTCTTAGTATTCTTCATGTAATTATCCTTTTTCTAGTAAATATCTATCTTTTTCATTCCTTAGCGTTCCGAATGGAACATAGAGAATCACGTTTTAAGCCTTGAATTTTAGGTAGCGGTAGTGTTGTCCTAACGCCAAACATTTCCATTTACTGGACTTGCTGCTCGTTAGGCAAAGTCTAGGACTTCACCTACCGGGGATCTTGCACTGTTCACATGGGGCATCGTCGGCAAGAATTCTACTTGTGAACCACCTAGTCACACAATTTTCTCTTATAGTGTCTTTACATTCCTCTTCTTTAGCTTTATATGTGCTTTTCTAAAGTATGAAAACTTGAAGCCGTGCCACTTATGCAGGGTTCTACGTTAAATCTCGACAAAATGGCCCGTATCCACAAGGTGTCTGGCAATTTCACTTTGTAATATCTGCTTCCTTTTAAGCATAAGTTTCTCGGAATATGCTCTGAAAACCGGATAGAAGCCCTTCTTTCTGTCCTTCCGATGTACTTGCTGCCGCAGGTGCACGTAAATTTATAAATGCAGTCGGAGATAACATCAGCAGGGTATTTATCCAGTTTTGATTGGCTCATAGAGCATGTAGTACTGTATAGTGTCACCAGATTGGTTGCAGGGAAGCATCTCTCTATAGTTCCTTTCATCCTCTGTTCAATCTTTCGCGATACTGTTTCTCCTTTGGCCATTTTGTCAAGATTTCCAAATCCTTCAAAATATTAAACATACAAAGGACAGCAAATCTACTACGATTTTCTGAAGCAATTGCAATCAAGCGTCTCAGACCATCCTTATGCACACAGAAAGAGAGTGTAGTCGATCTCTCACTCCCTTGGTAACCATATCACTTTCATTACACTGATTACTCATATACACTAGTGGGCTCAACTCACTAAGCAAGTTTTCAAATTGATGAACTTTGACCTTGTTGAGTTGCCATGTTGACACTGTTTATTAGATTTTTCTGTTTTCTGTCTTCTCCCACCCCCCATTTTTCTTTTTTCATAGTTTGATAGTATATAAATTGATGGTAACTTAAACTATAAATTTTAGTCCTTATATTCCGGATGCGTTCATCTTATAATGTTTTCTCTATTACCTTTCAAACAATGAAGTATGAAATGTTATTATTTATAACCATTGTAATTTCAGGTAGTTTGCAGCTGATGAGAACCTGTGTAATAAGAATTCAATTCGCTTACTATATAATATGCTTTTAAGTATAACTTATATAAACATCAACTGGAATCACTTTTGTC